GCAAGCAGCAAAAGAGGGCAGACAAAACATAATTATAAAAGCCAACGACACAGATATTCTTGTAATTGCAGTCAGCATTATTCCAACCCCTCAGGAAATTGGTCTGCAACAGTTGTGGATTGCCTTTGGCCATGGACGGAACCTTAAGTGGATCCCTGTGCATGACCTTTGTCTTTATGAGGCGAAGCCTGCGAGCTAGTTCAGGCAGTCAACTCGAGCACTTATGCTGCATTCATACATAACGCCCCCTTGCCACTCTACAACCAACCAAACAGAGTCTCCTTAATATGCCGCTCTATTTAACCTGCCAGATCTCTCTCCATGCATTGCTTGCTGCTGCTATTGCTGCAGCTACCTCTACGTCGCTGCTGCTTGCTGCCCCACCACCACCCCAGCTTCCACCCCAGCTTCCACCTGTAGGCTCGGGGGTTAGTTATTTGACCATCACTCATCGTGCTATGTATTTCTATGGAGTGATGATGCCCGAGCCTAGTCGCCAAACTTAACTATATGCTGCTTCTAATAAACATGTTAAAGGAACACGTGAGTTGTCTGACTGAACTATTGGAATGGAAAAGAGCAAAGGGATTCTCTTATTTCATGCCTATACTGGCTGTGATGTTGTTTCAGATTTCCGCGGTGAAGGCAAGAAGACAGCTTGGCAGACATGGGGAGTTTGTGACAAGGCATCTGATCTCTTCAGTAAACTCAGCCAGTATCCACCAACAGTGGTTTAATGATGACGAACTGAAGATCTTGGAAAAATGTGTGGTCATGATGTATGACAGGTCCAGTGTTGCTTAAAAATGTCCCCCCCCACATTCAGGATTCTTCCTACGCCCATGGGCAATGTTATATCTAATAAACATGGAAATACGTTTCCTGTTGGTGTTTGAAAATCGTAGTTTTACACGTTTTTTGCAATTATCAATTTAAGTGTTATTTTTTACATTTTGTGTATTAAAATTACACAAAACAGCTCTGAACAAGTTCAAACATATACCTTTGACTTTCCCATAGTCAAAAACATATAATTCAATACCAAAATCACCCAAATTTACCCAGTGGTTGAAATTCTGTAGTAAAATACTGTTTCCTCGGCTGGAAAGATGGCCGCCATTTTGAAAATGGAGGTGGCTAACGGGCTTTTTTAAATAAATGGCCCCAGAGGGATAAACATTGACATGTTGGTGCTTGTAACCACTTGTGAAAGATTGTTACAGCTATCTGCAGCACTAGAGAGATATTTGATAGTTGGTGCTTGAGAAGACTAAACATTTATCTGCAATTGACATGAATGGAAACGAGTAATAAAGTATATTCATTACTCGTTGTTCTCTACTAATAGTTAATTAAAGACTGTATAATGGCTATTTTGCACATCCCTTTCAAGATTTCAAGATTTTCTAAGGTTTATTGACATATCATTTACACAACTATGGTGTAGTTATGCAATGAATGAAAAACTTGGGTCGCAGCTGAGGTTCCTCAACAGCGCATTACAAGACATCTATCAATATGTGTGTATACCTCCAGCATTAAACTGTCATATTGTGCACATTTCTTATACTATCTACATACATAAGAGTATAATTCATATGTATAATATCAGTTAAAATAAGTGCTTCAGCATAGTTAACATTGCAGGAAAGCAATATATTAAACATTAAGTACTTTGTCAGGCTTAATATTTATCTGTAGAAACCCCCAAAGCTTTTTTCTTATTTAAAAGAAGACCTTAATCAAAAGTATTATTTAATGTTTAAATAAAGGTTAATTAGTTTGTCTGTTTTGCACATCCTCATATTAATATCTTTGAACATCCAGCATTAAACTGTTTTATTGTAGAGATCACTTACAGTATCTTCTTGATTTTTTTATATTCTATATTTCTATCATTGACCTTCTACTTTCCTCCTATGAAAGTATGTACTCTTAATATTTTTTTCATCAAATATAACACATAAAAACAATAATTCAATAACGTGCTTTACATTACATTACATTGCATTTAGCTGACACTTTTATCCAAAGCGACTTACAATAAGTGCGTTCGTCCAACAAAATACAACTTGAAGAAAATAGAATCATATAAGTACATCAGGCTTCATAGAGCAAAAACATTTCAAGTGCTACTCAACTGGCTTTAGAAAAGCCAGTCCTTTATTAGTATAAAAGTGCTTCGTTAATAGTTCTATCGCTCGAAGTGGAGTCGAAAGAGATGAGTTTTCAGTTTGCGCCGGAAGATGTGCAAGCTATCTGCTGTCCTGATGTCAATGGGGAGCTCATTCCACCATCCTGGAGCCAGGACAGCAAACCCACGTGTTTTTGCCGTTGGGAACTTGGGTCCCCCTCGCAGCGAGGGCGCAGCGAGGGCGCAGCGAGGGCGCAGCGAGTCGTTTGGCTGATGCAGAGCGTAGTGCACGCGCTGGGGTGTACGGTGTAACCATGTCCTGGATGTACAAAGGGCCAGATCCATTCGCAGCATGGTAAGCAAGTACCAGTGTCTCGAAGTGGATTCTAGCAGTTACCGGAAGCCAGTGAAGCGAGCGTAGGAGCGGAGTAGTGTGGGAAAATGTAGGAAGGTTGAAGACCAGACGAGCCGCTGCATTCTGGATGAGCTGCAGAGGTCGGATGGCACATGCAGGTAGACCAGCCAGGAGGGAGTTGCAGTAGTCTAGGCGTGAGATGACGAGAGCCTGGACCAGAACCTGAGTCGCTTTCTGTGTCAGCTGGGGACGTATCTTCCTGATGTTGTAAAGCGTGTATCTGCAGCAACGGGTTGTAGCAGCGATGTTTGCAGTGAAGGACAGGTTGTTATCTAGGGTCACACCCAGATTCCTTGCAGTCTGAGTCGGGGAAACAACAGAGGTGCCGATGTTGATTGTTAGGTAAAGAGTGGGACAATCTTTTCCCGGAAGGGAGAGCAGCTCAGTCTTGTCAAGGTTGAGTTTGAGGTGATGAACAGACATCCACTGAGAGATGTCAGCTAGACAAGCAGAGATGCGTGCGACGACCTGGGTCTCTGAGCGGGGAAAGGACAGAATTAATTGGGTGTCATCAGCGTAGCAGTGGTAAGAAAAACCATGCGGGCTAATGACTGATCCGAGCGAGTTTGTGTACACGGAGAAGAGGAGGGGACCAAGAACAGAGCCCTGAGGGACCCCCGTAGTTAATTGACAAGGGTCGGACTCAGACCCTCTCCAAGTCACCCTGTAGGTACGGTCTTTGAGGTATGAGGTGAGGAGGGACAGTGCAGAGCCTGAAACTCCAAGTTTTTGGAGAGTGCGAAGGAGGATCTGATGATTCACCGTGTCGAATGCAGCAGACATGTCCAACAGGATGATGACAGAGGAGAGGGATGCAGTTTTGGCAGTGTGCAGTTCCTCCGTGACAGCAATGAGAGCAGTTTCTGTGGAGTGACCTGCCTTGAAACCAGACTGGTGCGGATCCAGAAGGTTGTTCTGATTGAGATAACAGGAGAATTGTTTAAAGACGGCGCGTTCAAGTGATTTAGACAGGAACGGGAGGAGAGAGACAGGCCTGTAGTTTATAACACCAGACGGGTTGAGAGTGGGTTTCTTTAACCACTAGGCGGTGCACACAAGGTAGACACAGCCATAATAACTTTGTATTATTAGTGTAGGACACTTATGTATGTACAACATCTGAAGATGTGTAGTTTTATCAATGTTTTCACATAATTTTATTGCATATTGCTATACTATTTCAGACTCAGTAGTCCTTTTATATCATATTTGCACCTTTATGGTGTAAATATAACCTATCTATGAACTAGATCAAATGTAAAAGTCAGCCGAATTAGTGTTGATACTCCAAGGAGACGTATTGTGTGAAGAGAAATTGAAGATGTTGTTTAATTGTTGATATATTGATGATCCACATCAAGTATTCAGTTTCGGCGGCATTTCTTACAGTTTTTCCATAGGTCTTCTCATCAGGGCTCTATAAATAAAGAACTATGGCAGATCTGTAATATGTAATGCAGCCGAACCGTGTATTACAATGCCGTTATGTGATGACTTTCAAAGAGAAAAGCAAGAACACTCGGAATTAAGTATTATTTTATTTAAAAAAAAAAGATTTCCGGATTTGATATGGCATGAACACCATATCCCTACATGCATTGCGGCTAAAACATCCAATCAGCGAGCTTAAACCATAGCTGAGGATCTTGGGTAATCAGTTCAGTGGCTGTGTATCGCAATGATGCTACGTCTGTTTCCGGTTATTTTTATTTTGAAATTCAGTTCCTGACGGACGCCAAAAAAGCCAGAGATTATGGAATTAAACAAATAAATAAAAACAAGGATAATTGTGTGTTATTGGTGAGTAAATAACAGTGTGTTATTTAGAAAATAATAACAAATTAGAAGGAAACAAATATTTAAAAAAATACAGATTTCAGTATTCGGAGGCTCTGAGCCCCATTTAGTTTCCTCACTGACGACAACAAAAGTCCGACATTATACGATTTAAAATAAAAAGAATAATCGTGGCTTGATATTGAGCAAGAACATGTTTTTATGAACCCCACAGCTTCCGGTCTTCTAAGACCCAAACGGATAAAAAGACGTGGTGTAGGCACGAAACATACTACAAATAGAAATACATTGCTTTTAAAATCGTTCTGTGTGACACGAAAAAAAGGGGAAAATCCCGTTGGCGAACACGAATCAATAGATTCAATGTTGTGACTATAACACGAAATGCCATGAGTCTGGGTTGTCATATGGTGTCCTTTTTCTCAACCAAGGCTGAACAAAGCGTATTTTAAAATATGCAGTCTTGATCAAACACAAATCAAGATTCTGTTACTGTACTGTTTATTTCTCACCTTAAAACAGACAGACGCCATTTTGTGCTTAACTCCAAGCGGAATCTTCCCAAACTTGAATCAAACTTTAAAAATAGTCAGTGCTGATCAAACATTAATACACACACACGCACTCACAATGAATAAACGACTGATACTCATGTATATTTTTCCCACTCACTTTATTAATTGTTTTCGGTTCCATTGGTAATAAAATCATAATAAAAGTACAACAGCGTGCTCTGAGGAATTACATCTGATCTAATCCTCTTCCTGGGTAGTAATCCTCATTTCAGTTCTCATTCACTTCCTGTTTCCCTTCTTTAACACTCAGGTAGCTTTCAGGCTGTGCACATTTAAAAACAGACAGTATATTAAAGAAGAAATTATATACCAGTGCACATAGTAAAATAACCCCTTTTGATTATTACCCCCACATCATAAAGAAGTTAAAGCTCAGAATAACTGGAGTCCTCAGGAATAATCTCAGATAATGTGCCGGCTCAGTTTCACAGCAACAGGACCTTCATTTCCACCGTCAGGAATCAGCTGAGAACACAGAGAAACTGCTGAGTCATGGTTTATACACTGCTGCTTTTGTGTTAATCAAGGAACTCTTTAAACATTGTGTTAATCAAGGAACTCGTTAAACATTGTGTTAATCAAGGAACTCTTTAAACATTGTGTTAATCAAGGAACTCTTTAAACATTGTGTTAATCAAGGAACTCATTAAACATTGTTAATTAAGGAACTCATTAAACATTGTGTTAATCAAGGAACTCTTTAAACATTGTGTTAATTAAGGAACTCGTTAATAATAATAATAATAATAATAATACATTCGATTTAAAAAGCACCTTTCATTGCTAACAGCAATCCCAAGGTGCTACAGGAGGCATAATAAAAACAAACAAAATAAACAAAAGTATTAAACATTAAACATTGTATTAAGTAAGGAACTCGTCAAACATTGTGTTAATTAAGGAACTCGTTAAACATTGTGTTGATTAAGGAACTCGTTAAATATTGTGTTAATTAAGTAACTCGTTAAACATTGTGTTAATTAAGGAACTCGTTAAACATTGTGTTAATTAAGGAACTCGTTAAACATTGTGTTAATTAAGGAACTCGTTAAATATTGTGTTAATTAAGGAATTTGTTAAACATTGTGTTAATCAAGGAACTCTTTAAACATTCTATTAATTAAGGAACTCTTTAAACATTCTATTAATTAAGGAACTCTTTAAACATTATATTAATTAAGGAACTCTTTAAACATTTTATGAATTAAGGAACTCGTCAGGAAGAACAAATTAAGGTGCTGCCTACCATGCAAAGCTCTTCAGTTTCTCCATCCCATAGTGATGAGGGCCGCGTTCCCCTCAGTGTATATAGCAGATCTGCGCCTCCTGCGACCTGCCCCCCCACAGCTCTGTACGCAGACAGGAAGTTAGTTTCACAGACAGGAAGTTAGCTCCGCAGACAAGAAGTTAGCTTCACGGACAGGAAGTTAGCTTCGCAGACAGGAAGTTAGCTTCACAGACAAGAAGTTAGCTTCACACACCGGAATAAGCTCACAGACAGGAAGTTAGCTTCACAGACAGTGTCACTACCCGATCTGCCCCCCTGCCCTATCTTCAGTGCGCATGTGCGAGATGGTCCGCCATATTTGAAAACTACATACGGCAACTCTAATAGGACACTTGACACAGTGGCGTTTGGCAAAGCAGAAAAAGAACACAAAAAAACCGCGACAATATTAATCTGAACGAGAGAGATGAGTTATTTTATTGGGTAAAGTACATTGTCAGAATAAGTGAGAAATGTATTTAACTTCTGTTAGACAGCTATCATACATACTGAATAAATATTGATTGTGAATGTATGCAATATGTATGGCATTCATCATTTATATCTAATTACATTAACTGTGAATGTCCTTCATTTTATTTCAAATAAAATCATAAAAGATTTTTGTATAAATATTTGAGACGTTCATGACTCGCGCATGCACGATACAAATCGGGCAGCCATCTAGACGTCAAATGTCCTATTAGAGTTTCCGTATATAGTTGTCAAATATGGCGGACCATCTCGCACATGCACACTGCAGATAGGGCAGGGCTGCAGATCGGGTAGTGACAGACAGGACATTAGCTTAACAGACAGGAAGTGAGCTTCACAGACAGGAAGTTAGCTTCACAGAGTTAGCTTCAAAGACAGGAAGTGAGCTTCACAGACAGGAAGTTAGCTTCACGGAGTTAGCTTCACAGACATGAAGTGAACTTTACAGACAGGAAGTTAGCTTCACAGACAGGAAGTGAGCTTCACAGTGTCACTACCCGATCTGCAGCTATGCCCGATCTGCAGTGCGCATGTGCGAGAAGGTCCGCCATATTGGACAACTCCGGATGGCAACCCAAGTAGGACACTTGACACAGTGGCTTTTTTTCACTTGACAACTTATGTTAGACAGCTATCATACTGAATACATATTTACTGTGAATGTGTGCAAACATGTATGGCATATAGCTGTCTAACAGAAGTTAAATTCATTTCTCACTTATTCTGACAATGTACTTAACCCCAAATAAAAGAACCCAATAAAAAGAGTTGTTAAATAATAGTGAAGTCACGTTGTATTAACAATAACTCATCCCTCTCGAGTTTTCTTTTTGAGCTTTGCAAAAAGCCACTGTGTCAAGTGTCCTTCTTGGGTTGCCGACCGGAGTTTTCCAATATGGCGGACCATCTCGCACATGCGCACTGCAGATCGGGCAGGGCTGCAGATCAGGGCTAAAGTTGAATAGTCCATTTAGCTTAGGAACCTTCCTAACCGAGTGAAATGACCCGGAAGTCCCTCAGTGGCAGCCATGATAAGTGCCGTTCCAATTCTCTACATGATAGGAAAGGAGGTTTCAAACTTCCTTTTTCACCTCCTTTAGCTTAGGAACCACTGGACCTCCCTCAACGAAAGGAGAGGAGAAAATGCTGCCCCACAATGCCTTGCAGCCGCAGCATTTGCCGTCACACAACAGTCGGCCGTTCACGGAAACAACCGATTATGACGGAGAAATTATTTCATGAAAGTTACGGTGCTTATTAAGCTTTTTAAAACGTATGTGGTAAGTTGCCAAAGTGCTTGGTTTTGAACGTTCATCAGTATTATAATCAAAAAGAGAAATATGAACATTAGTTTTTTCTGAAATGATCAAATAAAGTCAACATTTCACTGAGCTGTGTGGGGTTTGTTCAACTTTTAAAAGATGTTTGAATGGTGATATACACAGTGATAGATGTTAAGGACTAACGTTTATAATAAATACATTTGTATTGATTTTAAGATATTTTCATAGTTCATACAATCATACGTATTGGGATCATTTGTATTAATGTGGACCGGAGGGAGAGGGAGACGAGCAGAAGTTTCACTTTCCTTTTGTATTTCAATTCCAGCTTTGGTCCTGAAGAATATGTTTCTCTGTTGTCCACGTTCATAAAGCATAAAGCAGCAGCGTCAGAGCACAGAGTCTCTAGATGAGTTTACAGGAGTCCCTCGTTCTTATTAAACATCCATGTTGTAGTCCGCTGTATAGAAAACTGTAGTCTCCATAGTTTCCCCACAGCAGCAGACGCACATTCATGACGTCCGCTGGCGCATCATAAACACGCGGGATAGTGAAAGTGCATTCGGATTCTCTAAAGTACCGCGGTCTCTTCTCCTAAGTCCTTTTGAATTCTCCTATCCACTATCCCTTAACCCCGTGACGTTTCACTCAGAGGTCAAGGAATAGTAGATAGGGTTATAATTTAGGAGCTGATTTTTTGATTATCCGACCGCAGCCCGGTTAGTGACACACAGACAGGAGGTTAGTTTAAGGCGAGACACCCCAGGTGAATAGGGTACATTGTTTAACTTAAAGGTATCAGCTATACATTTCTCCAGTTAATTACTTATAATAAGGCAATTGTCTTTTGTATTACAAGTTTTCTGAAATAGCATGTTTAAATATGCAAATTACCCATTATCTCATTAAATATGCACATATTTTAACACATTTCAGGAATCGAAATATGAACTTTGGATATAGCCAGATTCAAAATTCTTGTTTCATTTTGTAGTCATATTAGTATCTAAAGCTTTTACAGAAGGGATATTGGATATCTCTTTTTATCACTCCATAAATCAGAAAATACTGTCAACAGCCCTAAAATATCCATTTTCGCCATGTTTTTAGGTATACAATGTTGTATAATTCAGGCTATGAATTATATATGAACAAACCCTTCTGTAAAAGCCTTCATAATATTGATAGGAATATAACTGGAAGGTTTGGTGAATGTACGTGCTACTGAAGTTGAAATTTCGAAATTCAGAGTAGGAGAAAAAACTCATTTTGAGAAAACGACCTTTAAAGATTGCAGTGAGGCGCTAGCTAAACCCTCCTGTTCTTTGGATGACAGCTTGCGCATCGACGCACTCCGTGAAGGTATTTCATGTTCAGGGTCATTTTTTTTTTGATAACCTTGCTTCGTGCAAGTGACAATTGTTGTCGTCTTCTCTGTGAACGTTTTTTTCGCTGTTCTTTTTGCATTTTGAGATTTCAATTTCTAGCTGAAAGCTAACCAGGAAGTGTTTTAGCACACCACGTGACGCATCTGAACGAATCACGTTGTCAGAAATTGACACCAGCCAATGAGATTTCGTTTCTTGGTTTAAGACCCCTTTGTGCTTTCACGATTGGTTGCTGATACAAAGGAAATGACCATATTTGGATCCGATGAGATTGTGCAGGAGAGACACAGCTTTCCAGCGATACCTCTGTTGACATGGTGCACACAGCGGTCGCGGTACTTTATGTTACGTTAGAATGCTAACTTTTGGTGAATTTAGGAGAAATCTACAGACGCAAATAGACAAACTATAGTAAAATAAACACTTAAATGTGTATTTTGTACGTTTTCCTTCCAAAACCCTGAAAGAAAACATGTTATGGAATCAAAATAGCACAAAATCTCAAAATTGACCAGTACTTGAAAAACGATGTTTTTGCCTGCCGTGTCTCGCCTAACAGACAGGAAGTTAGTTTAACAGACAGGAAGTTAGCTTTACAAACAGGAAGTTAGTTTAACAGACAGGAAGTTAGCTTTACAGACAGGAAGTTAGCTTAACAGACAGGAAGTTAGTTTAACAGACAGGAAGTTAGCTTAACAGACAGGAAGTTAGCTTTACAAACAGGAAATTAGTTTAACAGACAGGAAGTTTTCTTCTCTGTGTACTCTGTGTATTAGCACTATGTTTACTCGGTGTATTAGTACTCGGTGTACTCTGTGTATTAGTACTCTGTGTACTCGGTGTATTAGTACTATGTGTACTCTGTGTATTAGTACTCTGTGTACTCGGTGTATTAGTACTCTGTGTATTAGAACTCTGTGTATTAGTACTCTGTGTACTCTGTGTATTAGTACTCTGTGTATTATTACTCTTTGTACTCTGTGTATTAGTAGTCAGTGTATTAGCACTCTGTGTACTCTGTGTATTAGTACTCTGTGTATTAGCACTCTGTGTACTCTGTGTATTAGCACTCTGTGTACTCTGTGTATTAGCACTCTGTGTACTCTGTGTATTAGTACTCGGTGTACTCGGTGTATTAGCACTCTGTGTACTCTGTGTATTAGCACTATGTGTACTCTGTGTATTAGTACTCTGTGTACTCTGTGTATTAGTACTCTGTGTATTAGTACTCTGTGTATTAGTAATCTGTGTATTAGTACTCTGTGTACTCTGTGTATTAGTACTCTGTGTACTATGTGTACTCTGTGTATTAGCACTCTGTGTACTCTGTGTATTAGTACTCTGTGTATTAGTACTCTATGTATTAGTACTCGGTGTACTCTGTGTATTAGCACTCTGTGTACTCTGTGTATTAGCACTCTGTGTACTCTGTGTATTAGCACTCTGTGTACTATGTGTATTAGTACTCGGTGTATTAGCACTCTGTGTATTAGTACTCTGTGTACTATGTGTATTAGAACTATGTGTACTATGTGTATTAGTACTATGTGTACTCTGTGTATTAGTACTCGGTGTATTAGCGCTCTGTGTACTCTGTCTATTAGCACTCTGTGTACTCGGTGTATTAGCACTCTGTGTACTCTGTGTATTAGTAATCTGTGTACTCTGTGTATTAGCACTCTGTGTACTCGGTATATTAGCACTCTGTGTACTCGGTGTATTAGCACTCTGTGTACTCTGTGTATTAGCACTCTGTGTACTCTGTGTATTAGCACTCTGTGTACTCTGTGTATTAGCACTCTGTGTACTCTGTGTATTAGTACTCTGTGTATTAGCACTCTGTGTACTCGGTGTATTAGCACTCTGTGTACTCGGTGTATTAGCACTCTGTGTACTCGGTGTATTAGCACTCTGTGTACTCTGTGTATTAGCACTCTGTGTACTCTGTGTATTAGCAATCTGTGTACTCTGTGTATTAGTACTCTGTGTGTACTCGGTGTACTCGGTGTATTAGTACTATGTGTACTCTGTGTATTAGTACTCGGTGTATTAGCACTCTGTGTACTCTGTGTATTAGCACTCTGTGTACTCTGTGTATTAGTACTCTGTGTATTAGTACTCTGTGTACTCTGTGTATTAGTACTCTGTGTATTAGCACTCTGTGTACTCTGTGTATTAGCACTCTGTGTACTCTGTGTATTAGCACTCTGTGTATTAGCACTCTGTGTACTGTGTGTATTAGTACTCGGTGTGTACCGGAGTGCAGGCCTGGCCCTGTGTGGGGCACAGCTCCAGTTTGCAGTGCAGGTAGATTTCACTGCTTGCTCCAGAGAACTCGAACATGTTGAAGGAGAACACGCTGGACGTTCCCTGTCCGTTTCCCTGCATCTGCACCGTATCATCAGCAGGGTTCGGACATCTGCCCGGAGACAGGAAATACACACCATGAAGTCTCAGAGTTCATTCTGTTCTAACAGTCAGAGTTCATTCTGTTCCAACAGTCAGAGTTCATTCTGTTCCAACAGTCAGAGTTTATTCTGTTCTAACAGTCAGAGTTCATTCTGTTCTAACAGTCAGAGTTTATTTTGTTCCAACAGTCAGAGTTTATTCTGTTCTAACAGTCAGAGTTTATTCTGTTCTAACAGTCAGAGTTTATTCTGTTCCAACAGTCAGAGTTTATTCTGTTCCAACAGTCAGAGTTTATTCTGTTCTAACAGTCAGAGTTTATTCTGTTCTAACAGTCAGAGTTTATTCTGTTCCAACAGTCAGAGTTTATTCTGTTCTAACAGTCAGAGTTTATTCTGTTCCAACAGTCAGAGTTTATTTTGTTCCAACAGTCAGAGTTTATTCTGTTCTAACAGTCAGAGTTTATTCTGTTCTAACAGTCAGAGTTTATTCTGTTCTAACAGTCAGAGTTTATTCTGTTCTAACAGTCAGAGTTTATTCTGTTCTAACAGTCAGAGTTCATTCTGTTCCAACAGTCAGAGTTTATTCTGTTCTAACAGTCAGAGTTTATTCTGTTCTAACAGTCAGAGTTTATTCTGTTCTAACAGTCAGAGTTTATTCTGTTCTAACAGTCAGAGTTTATTCTGTTCCAACAGTCAGAGTTTATTCTGTTCCAACAGTCAGAGTTTATTCTGTTCTAACAGTCAGAGTTTATTCTGTTCTAACAGTCAGAGTTTATTCTGTTCTAACAGTCAGAGTTCATTCTGTTCTAACAGTCAGAGTTTATTCTGTTCCAACACTCAGAGTTTATTCTGTTCCAACAGTCAGAGTTTATTCTGTTCCAACAGTCAGAGTTTATTTCCTCACCCGGTGATGATGAGGTCATATTGCAGATTACTGTCAGGTGATGCCTGATTGGTTGCCCAGCAGGAGTCTGTCACCATGGCGACCATGTTGCCGTCCAGCCCCACCGCCTCCAGCTGCAGCCAGACCGTCTGGTTCAGCAGGATCTCCGTGTTCGGGCCGACAAGCTGCAGGAGGCCGGCGTCGCTGAAGGAGCTCATCGTCAGAGTGTAGTTCCACTCTCCAGATACAAGCTGCTGCACCACAGAGCTACACACACACACACACACACACACACACACACACACACACACACACGCACGCACACACACACACGCACACACACACACACACACACACACACAGCCACACACACACACACACACACAACACACACACACACACACACGCACACACACACACACAGTTTAGCAGTGTGACGCTTGGAGCTGTGGTACATTAAGGACCAGGTGACGCTCACCTGTCTTGGATCCTGAAGGACACACTCCTGACCTCTGGCTGTGTGTACTTGCAGGAGAAGTCGATCTGGAACTGGTCGCTGCGGGTGATGACTCCGCCTGATGAGCTGTTCAAGGACATGATGGAGTTCTCGTAGAAGATCTGGCTGTTGTTTCTCTGCAATGTGACAGAAAATGAGTTCATTTAACCTGTTAAGCCCGAGAGACCCCGGTACCGGGGCCCTCCCGCAACATCTGTCAGGAAACAGTGTCTGAGGGCATGTTCATTTAATAAACTATGAATGTTTTGTATCCATGAAACGGGAAGAAACTCATCTAACTGAACTTTTTTTTTTTTTTTCCACAATGCTAACGCTGAGACTCTGAATTAGCAACGAGCGAAAAATGCTAACAGATTTACTGCACCGAAACTCACTCACAAAACCTTATTATTTATCCATTCTGCACATCCAACCCATCGATCTGATCGTGAGATGACACAGAATCGATGGGTACAGACATTATCACTCAATGATACGAACTTGCGACTTTATAAACAAAAACAGACATCAAAGCATGTGGCGCTAGGTAGCTAGAAACGCTAACATGGCTTACCTGTGTCGTAGTCTGGTCAAAAACAGTCAGAAAGATGTCAATCACCAAAATCGACAAAGGGGGCCAGAGATATGGAAAATCCACCCAAAAGACCCCAGAAGTGTTTTTGTTGTTGCTAAATCTGTCTAAAAAGGTCAGATTTCAACATCTATATTGATTCTGACTTTTCTACATCCAACTCACAGGTTTATCATTGCTTTGAGAAAACAGATTATTAATTGAACCCTTTTAGAAGATATGGTCATTTGTTCTGGGAATGTCATTTTCGAGCCTGAGACCTGAACAACAGGCTCGGGGCTTAACTGGTTAACGGCCGTGGCCACATTATTCCAGTGCTCACTGCTGACGGTTCCATCCTGACAGAGAACGGTCAGTGTTGGAGTTCCCAGTCCAAACCATCCAGGTCATAAATCACATGGTCTCTAATCAATAAAGGGAACTAGAGAATATGCTCTCCCGGTATTTAATTAAAGTTAAACAGGGTGACTGAAGCCTGTTCCTTCCCTTCCATCGATCATTAAGCTCTTCTGAGGGCTGCAGGTGTCAATAACCAACTGAACAGGACTCAGTTAAAGCAGCTTTGCGTGCTTCTCGTTTGCCCAAAGACGCTCTGAAAATAACCCGCCTTGAGTCTAGAGGAAGTGATAACCACGCACCATGACCTCCGTCCCGCAGGGGGCGCTGCTATTGAAGCTGAAGGTCACCAGGTGGCTCTGGGGGTCCATGTGGCCCTTGCAGCTGGGGTCTTTGAGGTGTAAGGTGGAGAAGTCGATGCCTTTGTCGTCCAGCAGACATCCAGCCAGAACCACAGAGGCCGAGTCCTGCCTGCAGACCGTGGGATCGCCTGCAACACACCGACACTTCAACCACACACCGACACTTCAACCACACACTGACACTTCAACCACACACCGACACTTCAACCGCACACCGACACTTCAACCGCACACCGACACTTCAACGACACACCGACACTTCAACGACACTTCAACGACACACCGACACTTCAACCACACACCGATACTTCAACGACACACCGACACTTCAACGACACTTCAACGACACACCGACACTTCAACGACACACCGACACTTCAACGACACTTCAACGACACACCGACACTTCAACCACACACCGACACTTCAACGACACACCGACACTTTAACGACACTTCAACGACACACCGACACTTTAACGACACTTCAACGACACTTCAACCACAAACCGCCACTTCAACCACACACCGACACTTCAACGAAACACCGACACTTCAACCACACACCGA